GAAATGCGTAAAGAAGCCAAAGTTAATCTCTCGAATAATCTGGAAGCAGAAGCTTCATTAAAGTGGTGTCTTAAAAGTTTCCCACAGAAAAGCCACCAGGCTTGGGCACGCTTTAGTCCTGCTGAAATCAACGGGGCTGAATTTAGTCACAACAAGTTTGCCCCACTAATTGTTGTGTTTGGTTCTCAGAAAAACATTCAAGGACTTGTCATCTTGCAACAGCCAATGAGCACTTAGATCTCTTTGAGGAGTTTCTCAGATGCAGAAGGAGGAAATGCAGCCTCCACCTGACTTAAGGTCTTTGGGGCAAAGCACCCCTGCAGATTGCAGACTGAACTGAAGTATGACCAGTAGCTGTGGTTCAGCCCCTTGAAGTTCATTTCCCCTTTCCCATTAACAGTTCTAAGGTGCTTGCCAGGATCAGCTCCAGCATCTAGTGGAACAGATCTTTGGTTTATACCTATTGATCACTGTGGCAAGTAGGACTTGACATTTTAATTGCATTTTAGAACAGATTAAAACCAAGAAATACAATAGCCACTCTAGTGCACAAATAAAATGTATGTATCTGGTACAGATCCGCTAAATGTAAGGTGTTGTTTGTTAAGTAAAATTCAAGGGAATATTCCAAACAAGCTGCATGAATTCTGTGTTCTGAAGGGCTTGCCATCTTTGTACTACTTTAACTAAGTAATATAGCATCTAACCCAAATTAGTGCCTTCCAGATTATTAGATTACTACCCCCATCATCCAGCAGGCATGAGCAAGTCTGCCTGGGAATGCTGAGAATTGTAGTACAATACATCTGAAGGGGACCAGGTTGGGGAAGGTTGATCCAAAAAAATTACCCTGATGATCTGCCTTTCAGACCCCTTTTTGGCCTTTAAGATTGCAGACCTTGCCTTCATCATACCTTGGCAGGCAATAGAAGAGAATCCTGTAGCCCCCGCAGCTTTGCATAGATGGTGCAAAATATGCCCAAACACCACTATTTAATTGGATGATATCTCATGAAACAAGGTAAGAATATTTATCTGGATTGATGCCACATATTCAAAATTACTATTTTAAAATGCAATATTATGGATGGATTTAACAAATTCATTACTTGGAGGGTCAATAAATTTGCAGTGGTGGGTGGCAGAGCAGTTTGAGAAGAGGACTCATGGAAACAAATGTGGTGGGTTGTAAAATAACTCATTTGCTGTGATAGTTATCTAAATACTCTTGTGGGAAGCATTGGTTTCACTCTGCTTAGCTTTATGATGCATTTTTTATTTTGCTATCTCTGCAACAATCTGTTTATTTATTTACTACATTTTTGTACTGGCCAATAGCCAAACCTTTCTCTTTGGTTCACAGCAATTCAAATCATAAAATATGTCACCATAAAACATAATGGAGAATGTTAAAAGTTTAAAACTACAGTATAAAACCAAAATGAAAACCTGCAGCAGTGTATAGGGTTGAGATACAGTAAGGGCATGATCCTATTTTTTTTTTTAATTTATTTATATCCTGCCTTTTTCCTACAAAGGGCTCAAGGCAGCTTACATCATTCTCCTCCTCCATCTTATCCCCACAACAACAGCCCTGTGCGGTAGGTTGGGCTGAGAGTCTGTGACTGGCCCAAAGTCACCCAGTTGGCTCCATGGCTGAGCGGGGACTAGAACCCAGATTGCCTGAGCCCCCATCCCACACTCTTAACCACTACACCACCCTGACTGTCAGGCACACAGGCACATGCACAGAATTATTTGGAAACCCTGTAATTTCAGAGTTGGGATTCTGAAGGCAGAGCCCCCGCTCCTTCAGCTGAGCTGATACACCATGCCATCTGCCTTCCCCAAGGTTGGAACTGGGCCCCAGAGGGGGAACAAACAGGCATCTTGGGGGACAGGAAGAGGAGCAGCCTGGAGCTGAAGACTGACCCCCGTTCCTGTTAGTGTCTCAGCCTCCACCTTCTCCCTCCCCAGTGATGACTGGAAATAACCACCTAAATAAAAGTCAGGGTGGTCCACATCACACATCATCTGGAGCATAGGATGAGGGTGGGTGAGAGGAGTAACTTATTGAAAAACAGCAGAAACTGAAAGACTAAAATGCTTGGGGAAATAAGCCCTTCACCTGGTGCCAAAAAGACCACCATGCAAGGCATGGGGAGGACATTCCACAGCCAGGGTGCCACCATTGAAGAGGTCTTTTCCTTAGTAGCTACCTGTCCCAGCTCATTTTGTGGGGTACCCAGAGGAGGGCCTCTGAAGACAATCTCAGGATCTGGGCTGGTATTTGGTTAAGCAACAAATCCAATTTGCATCATTACATAAACACTCCTTAGTTTTCAGTGTTGCAAATCAGCAAGAGCACTTGCTACATTGCAAAGAAGAAAAAAACCCTTGCATTCCTGCTCTCCCAACTTTAATAATAAGTGTTTATTAATTAGTGATCGATAACCTAGCTGGCTTAACTGTAAGTTCCACTTAAGTTACCAAAAACTGTATCAGTCACTTGGCCCAGCGTGAGCTCTCTTGCCGCTACCGCTGTTATGCAAACATCTGCCCTGCCACTGCCATGGTGGGGTCCCCTTCCTCCAGCTGCCAGCCCCAGTCTGGAAAGTCCTGCATGACAACACAAGAAAGGTGTTGGGCTTTCTAAGTTGGGCTGGCAAGAGCAGGGAGGGAAGGTTGCACAGCAGCAGGGAGCATATCTTTCTCAGGGGCTTCAGCCTCTCATGAGATCATGGACGTGGCCAAGATATTGTGCAGTGTCAGCCACGTGCGGAGATTGCTGCAGGGCTCCAGGGCTCTTTTGCAACAGAGGCCTGAAAGCTGCTCTGAACAGTCCCACTGACTGCATTTCTTGCTGCTCAAATGCTGCATCAGGGAAATTGGCTGCCTGTGCTTCCCAGGGCATGGTGCAGAGGCGGTGGTGGACTCTCCAGGCTTTGCCTGGGGCTGGAGAGTGACGCAATTGCCCCCCTTCCTTCTCTGCTGCCTCATCCAGGTGCCTTGTCCTGCATCAGTAGGATGGAAACTACAGTATAAGAAAGATGCAGACAAATTAAAAAAAATTGAGGAGAGGACAATGAAGATGATCTGGGGACTGGAAACAGAGCCCTGTGAGGAGAGATCTGGGCTTGTTTAATCTGGAGAAGAGAAGACTATAGCACTCTTCATGTGCTTGAAAGGGTGTCGCAAAGAGGAAGGCCAGAACCTTTTCTCCATCATTCCAGAGTACAGGACATAAAATAATAGCCTCAAGTTACAGGAAACTAGGTTCCTGCTGAACATCAGGAAAGGCTTTCCAGATGTTAGAGCAATATGATAATGGAACCAATATGGCAATGTAACCAATGACCTAGGGAGGTCGTGGGCACTAGAGGCATTCAAGAGGCAGCTGGACAGCCATCTGAGAGGGATGGTTTAACTTGGAGTTCTGCACTGAGCAGGGGTTGGACCCGATGACCCTGTGGCCCCTTCCAGCTCTACCATTCTGTGGTTTCCTGTTTCTGTGAATGGAGCATTGGGCCATTTACCCCAGGATTGTCAACTGGGCAGCAGCAACTCTCCAGGGTTTCAAGAGGAATTTCTCTAGCCCCACCTGGAGATGCTGGGGATCGGACATGGGACTTTCTGTTTTCAGATCAGGTGTTCAAGCCATGACCCTTCCCCTGGAATGCACAATACTTTTGACTGACACATAAGAAGAGCCCTGCTGGATCAGGCCAGGGGTCCATCTACTCCAGCATCCTGCACACATGGAGGGCAACCTTCTGCCCACAGAAAACCAGCAAGCAGAATATGAGTTTAAGGTCCTGCTCATCATTCCTAGTTGCCCCAGGGTGGTTTGTGTTTGTCCCATGCTATTTTACCTACCATGGAATCCCTCTTTCAATTTGTCTCCCCTCATCATCAGCTCCCTAAGATCTCAGTTCAGCTGGTCTATAAGTACCAGTGGTTTTCAGCTGTTAGATGGGCTCTTTTCTACAATGCCTCTCCATGGAAAACCCCCTAATGCCAGGCTGGGGAACCTCCCACCTAAGGACCAGAAAGAACCCTCCCCATCTGCCCCATGCACCCCATGCACCTGCCCCATGAATTTACCCAAGCACTACACCCACTGCCCCCTCCGCAAATCCTTTTTCTCTGTGGATCCTTGGACACCTGCCCCCACATTCCTCCTAGGCACAGACTCCTGCATTTGTCCCATGCCTGGTTTTGGCCTCAGTCATCCCATCACACCTGTCCCCCCCACAGGCATGAATCCATCCTACAGAGGGGCAGCCTCTCTGCATGGAATGGCAATGGCAATCCCAAAAAGAAGCTGGCTGCCCTCCTTTCTCATTGGGCCCCAATGCTGCACCCTAAGAAAATGCTTAGGACAGTCTCCCTGCAACCTTTGCACCCCCATGGTGTCAGACTACAATGCTCATTAACCCCTGGCTGATGGGAGTTGTAGTCCATCATATCGGGGCCACAGCTTGGGAAAAAGCTGCCTTAGCCATTAGGAGGCTATTTTTAAATTCTGACCTAGGCAGACTTGAGCGGGGGCCAAAGGAGGCAAAGGCAGCAAGAGAGTGCACAAGATCTGGCCAGGTTTGCTAAAGAGATTGCAGCTCTTTGGCTACAACCCAAGGTGCAAGGACTATCTGCGCCGTGTGCCCAGGAAATCCCGCGGCCCGCCCCCACCCCTGTTCCAGGAGAGCGCCTTTCCCGACGCTCGACACCCCCACCAGGACTAGCGGCCCGAGCAGTCTGCGGCTCAGACCCCCTTCCCCGTCCTTCTGTCGCCCCAGCCCGCCAGTCCCCCGCCCCCTGCACGCGCCACCGGGCTCCGCAGCCGAGAGCCGAGGCCAAGTCAGAGCCGGCGGGACGGTGGGTGGGCTCAGAGCTCCTGCAGTCGGGAGGCCCGAGCGCCAGCCGCAGTGACCGCAGCAGCCACCGCGTGTGCGTGACCGGCGGGCGGATGGCGGGGCTGCTGCCGGCCCCTTAGCCGACCGATGGGCTCGGTCCCTCCGGCTGCACGCGCTGAGCTGTCGGCGAGGCTGCAGCATGCCGAACCCCCGCGGCCTCGACAAGGCACTGAAGATGCCTCTGCAGAGGAAGACCAGGATCCACTCAGCGACGGGTAAGGCCGCTGGCTGGGGACGGGACGGGCAAGCGAGCCGCCTGCAGGCCACCCCAGCCCGTGCGTCCCCTTCCGCGTCTCCGTCCCCAGAGCCGCCTCCTCGCTCTCCTTCGCGGCGCCGCCGTTGCGGCTGGCGGCGGTGGACTCTCTCCCTCGCCATCTCACCCACAGCTCGGAAGAGCAAGCGGGACGCGTCTTTCCTGGGAGCCGTGCTGGGCTCTAGCGGCTCCATCGCGCCGCTCGCCTGTCCCCTCCTGCCCGCGTTCGGCGAGTGCGCGTCCGGGCATTAGCTCCGGGCGCGAGGAGGAAGACGATCCCGTTTTGCGTTACGTGCGGAAAAGAAAGACATGAGGAGAGGTGGTGGGAGGCCGCCGCCGATGCTTGCGAATCGATCGGGCTCCAGTTTCACTTTTAGTGCTCTCGGGGGGATTTTGCTCAGGACTGGGCCTGAGGCTGAATTGCTCGCTGGGAACCGACCCAGCGATTTTAGCTGCAGAACCTCTGCGTGTGCGAGATGACGCGAGCCCGCCGGCTCGATGCAGCCCGGAATGCCGGACCAGTGCACTTGCAAGAGGGGCTTTTCCCTTCAGAGGAGGGATTTCCTCAAGACCTGCGCCAGGAGGGGAGAGATTTAACCGCCCCCTGCTGTATTTCCAATAGTTATTTATCAGCCCTCCTCCATGCTTTTTGCATAGTCCTTCCTTCCCCCCGCAAACAAGTTAAGGGCCAAAATATAATTAATGCAGGGGAGAATGGTGACTCCTACGTCAGTGGGGGTCTTAATCCATTGCAGCTTTTGGTTTGAGCTGTATAGAGCGTATGCATTATAGTGGTAAACTCGTTTTGTAGATCAGCACCACGGATAGCTCCCGAAAAGCATGGCCAGACTTGCTGAATGTCAGGTTTAGTTTGACCCTCACAGTCCTATAGACACATGACCAGCCTCATCAAGACAGGGATGGCCCAATTTTGTGTGCGTGCACATACAAGCAGCACCTTAGCTCTTTGCATCATGCCTTTGATGCAGTTCGTGCAGCTATACCAGGTTACAACATTCCCATGTACACTGAACTGAGGGGAAGTCCACTTTAACAAAATGGGGTGCGCTATTCAGTGAATGGTGAATTCAGTTCACCATTAAGATTGCAAAGGAAGATTGGTGACATTTCCTGCCCCAAATGTAAAGCCCTTCCATTCACTGACTTTCAAACTGTGTGTTGCACCCCTGTGGGTGCAATCTGTTTGCAACATGACATGCAAAGTGACTTGAACTGAACCGTAAAATGTACTCCTTGAGCTGCTTGAGTAGGAAGAAGAAATTTAGCACTCTCATTTAAGAGGAGAGCTTTTCTTATGGATTAGTAATTGGTTAAAGAATGCAACAGGAAGCAAAAACATAGGAATTAAATGAATGAGCAGTTCTCACAATGGAGGAATGCAAGCTAGGGGATCTCTGTTGGGTGACTGGTACTTTTTACCTGATTCACAAATCATCTGGGGTCAGAGGCGTACAGAATTGTTGATTAAAGTTGTATATATATTTTCCCTCTCTCACAGTACTAGGACCTATGGCCATCTAATGTTGCTGAGCTGAGCATGGAGAGATTCAGGACAGAGTAATCTTTTTAGTTAAACTGCGGGATTTGCTACCACAAGAAGAAATGAGGGCTACCAATTTGCACATCTTTGGAAGAGGCTAATTATGCATGGATACTGAACATGATGGCTACATATTATCTTCAGTAGCAGGGCCTGGATGCTGCCGTATGTCAGTTAGCTGATGCCAGTTAGGCAGCTTCTGCCCTTTTTCTTTGTCCCCATATGGGTACGGGATTTTAAGGAGTGGGAAGTGACAGGATGGGCAGGCTTAACCTTCCATTACCTGCACATAGTGCTCCAAATCTAGACTGAATCTCTTTCTTTTTTTAATCTTCAAAAAATGTATAGAGGCCAAGTATGAAGCTTAGCTGCATGTAGGACTCATGCCTGTGCTGGGCTTCCCATAAGCATCTAACCTAACCCTAAAACTTGACTGGGTATGCCTTTGGCCTGATCAGCATGTCTGCAATTAGTTCTTATGTTCTGAAAGTGTGTCCTGTTGAAATCACCGGAACTTCTTTCTTGAACATAATGAATGCATGTGGGATCAGGGTGCTTAATTACACTGTACCTTGATTTGCCTGGATTCAGATGCATAAAATGCACTTAAAACTCATCCAACATACATATCCATATCTATCTGTCTATATGCACAGGTAGGTATACAGTTGCACAACAGCCAAGAAACAAAGACACTCTTGGTCTGCTATGAATACAGCCTGTCTTAAATTAAAATACTGGATATAAGGGCTCAGTTCTGTAGAGAAGATCAACAGTCACCAAATTTAGAAACTAATATTCATTCAACGCAAAGTCGGAGTGGGGGCAAGTTTTGCCTTCCCATTCCTGCCACTCTGCATTTTCTGTAGATGGCCATTTTCGACTGTCTAGCTAGGGCATCTTAGAACAGGAAGGTGGAGGCTGCAGAGGGCACAGGGTGGCTGGGCTCACCTATCATGACAAGCAACATCGCATGGCTTCCAGGGTGCAGGATTTTTTTGCTCCAACATGCCTGATAAGCTATTAACCATTTCTAATTAATGATTAGATGGTCTCTATACTAGCATGATTTCTGCACTCCTCACTTAGTCCTCCTGCTCAGCCACCATGCTTGAAATCCAATCCCATACTGGATGGCTGGAGCAACTTCTGCACCAGTTGCCAGTCTTTCTAGGGAACTCTGTGGTAGTACTGTAGAAACCATGATGCCAGGTACAGATGATCAGATAAATGGTGGCGAGGAGTGGAAACCATAGAGCAAACCATTGTTTCTTTTTGTGGCTTCTAAAACCCAAATGTGCCATGCTGAAATACCATGACAGGGTCCGGATGCCACAACAGACCATCCTGCACAAGAATACACCATGGCTTGTTGTATCAGGCAAACCTGCCAATGTATTGTATTCTGGCCCCTGCAGGCTACTTCCCTCTTCCCCTGAGAATATCCCTTTTATGATGTTGCTTTCCTGACCTTAGACAGTGAGTCAGCATGATTCTTTCCATGGCCACTGTGGGAAGGGGTGTCAGTGCATGGATCCTCTGCTTCAAGGTTGCAGGGAAGTCATTTGCCTTGGTTATGGAATTCTAGTGTCTCCCATACCACCCCCTTCACCAACATTGTCTAGTTGCTCTCAAAGATTGCTCCCTAAGAAAGACAAACTAATGACAGAGTCATTTCAAAATATATGTAGACGTAAACATTTCGGCTTGCACCCTCATCAGTAATTACATTGTAGCTACTAATGAGACTGGAAGCTGAAATATTGAGCTTTAAATACAGTTTGAAATAACTTTGTCATCCTGTCTTTATGGATATAGAATGCCTTGTGCTGTGTCCATCCATTCCAGTACTGCCTAGCGAAGCAATACTCTCTTCTGTTTGAGATAATGGAAGGGTACATTCCTTTGCATCTTTAGACAGGAAAAATTACAATTCTCGCCATGCTCCAGCCATTATTCTTTTTTCCTAACTCCAATAAACAGAATAATTTCTGGTTACTGGGGCAGGTAATGAGCAGCATACAGGCATACATGCATGCATGCACAGATGGATGTAACATGGGTGCCTTCATGTGCAGTAGTGTGTCCAGTTTCTTGCTGTGGCAAAACTCCTGCCTGAAACTCTGGAGAGCTGCTGCAAGCCAGCATTGCCAGTACTGGGCTAGATGGACTGAGGATCTGGCACAGTGGCTGGGTTTGGACAATACAAGACACCACAGCTTTACCATTGGTGGTCTGTTATGTGGTCTGAACCCAGTTGTGGTATTCACCATGGTAAGTTTGGACTTTAGAAAGCATGATAAGAAACAAAAGTTTGGTGTCTCTTTACCCAGGATCAAGGTTTTCACAGTCATGACATGCAACTACCAGAGAGTCCTCTGGAAAGAGTGGCAATTGCAGGAGCTGTTCTAGCCATCTAGCCTCTACATGTACCCCAGTGAGGAAAAGGCAGGTGACACAGGCAGGGAGCCGTGCACCTTGTGCCTGAATTTCATTGGGAGGACTGAGCAGGGAGGATGGGAAGCACGATAAAGAATAAACCACTTGATTATCTGTAAGGTAGATCATGGTAAAACATTGTGAACCTTGCCAAGCATGCAGGGTTGCTTGTTGTGTTGTGTAAACACAGCCAGTATAAGGCAGCTTCCTTATTTTAAACACTAAGGATACAATCACATGCATGTTTTGACAGAAAAAAACCTGGCTAGGAAAGGCTGAGACTTGTAGGATTTTACCTGTCTTGAAATGAATAGGATACCATCCTAAATATCTGAGCTTCATGCTGCCTGTAGCCTTGTGAATTCTCCAACTCACCGTACCTTTGGAAAACATGAAGAGAAAATCATTTTTTAATGAGGGGGTTCAATAAACAAACCAAATAAATAATAGAAAAGATGTGTGCTTCCTAGGAGGGGTGTTACTACCCTCTAGAGATGCTAAAAGGAAAGGCAGTGGATCAGTCCGGGTTTCTTCAATTCATCCGGGAGAGTTTTCTCATTGAAAACAGCAGGATATATTTCAGGGAAAAACTAATGTGTCTGTGGAGGGCATCTGCTCACTAGAATTGCATCTGCAAAGTCATTGGAAAGACAACAGCCTGTGAGCCAATATTCCTGCATTGAAACTCAGCCATTGCACTGGGTCAGAGCAGGAACTGCTCAGTACTGAAATTTCCCCACTTGCTTGACTGTATCCATGAGACCTACACAATGCAGTGCTAGACAGATACCTTTAAGGATGCCTGGGCTATTCTTTCAGTTTTGCTTGCAGCTCTTCTAACAAACTCCTAGGCACGTTGTCAGCTGCCCAAGAGATTAATGCATGGCCTTCCAGATGTTGTTGGACTGGGACTCTCATCATGCCTCACCACTGGCTATTCTGGTTTGGGTCAGAGGGTGTTA